CTAAGGTATGTATTTTGCAACATTCAGAATTCCAATAAGCAAGAATAAGTTATTTACATGCTACATTGGTTTCTGTACTGGGATGATAGATATTTATAAAACAGATTGATCATAAGGATAAAAACGTATTCATTTGATGTCAACATCTGTTAAAATGCTACATTTTCATGGTGCCTCTCAAACAATGCAGTATCAGGATCCAAGCCAATCTAGTTGGGAGAGCATTCCAAAGAATGAGTGTAGGTACTGAAAAGGATCAAGCCTTGTATCTTCACAAGAGTTGGGGAGTTATGTAATACTGTTATTACCCTCCCCCAACAGGACTGCATGATATAAATGCTATCAGCAGCTCACTTCAAAAGGACCATGGAGTACAGGAATACTAATTCCATGGGTCTTTGGTATTTTCTGGGGTTTGGTTCCAAGACACACATGCACGGATATTAAAATCTGTGAATGCTCTAGTTACAATATATACAATGACGTAGTAAAATGATGTTTCTTATATCAAATGGCAAAATCAAGGTGTACTTGTTTTTGTAGTTTTTGAATATTTCCAAGTTACGAATGGTTGAATTTATGGATACAGAATCCATGGATATGGAGGCCCAACTGTGTTAATAAAAAGTTTTTTCACTTGTATGACAAATACATTCCATACTGTCCTTTGTTTTTATTAGTGCTCTGTTGACAATTTGTGAAATTTCAGTGTTTGCTATTAAAACTGTTCATTTGAGAAGGGCAACCATGTTTGCAACAAAACAGAGTCAGAAAATTTTTTTGGACTTATGCTGCTAACAGCCAAGGTTTGCCCCCAAACCGCTGCTTCTTCACACTTCGTTTGACCTTTATTTATAACCCCTGTTTTGCCAATGCATTGCCACTTCAGGGGAATGGGAAAGGAGCATGCTTTCAGCAGTAAAAGTTCCCTTGCACTAAGGGTGGCCTGTAAATGGGTGGCCTGTAAACCAAACAGGAGGGCACCTCATCCCAGAATGGGAGAGTTCCCACTCTGCTCCAACTGTGAGCACATAGTGCCTCATAAATGTAAGTGAACTCAATTTGAAAAGTGTTACCTTGTGAAGGAAACACATACAGATAACCAATGGTTTGTACAGGGTGAAGCAGCATAACATCCTTTTTTCAAAACTTAATAAAACCCATTGTATGAATCAGAATTTTTTTATAATGTAGGCGCATACCTAAAGTTTTGTTTTACATAGTTTTGAAGATCAAATTAGGTAGGTGACATCCCCCATTCTCCATATACTGAGTAAACCGATTTCTGGCATTTGTCATGACTCTTGCCAGCATAGCAGGTGTTATGTTGGCAATTTCTTCCTGGATGTTGGTATTCAAATCTTGTAGAATCCTTGGACGGTTCACATAAACACGGGATTTCAAAACACCCCATAGAAAAAAAATCACAAGGGGCCAAATCTGGAGAGCAGGCCGGCCACTCCAAATCTGCTTGAAAAATAGGCCTCAACGGCAAAAGCACACTCCTCACTGTTCCAACACATGATGGCGACTGAACTGTGTCAGGACAAAACTTAATACTCCCGCCTCTCGAACGTTACCACTAGCGCTCCGCTTCGTCTTCAACCAACTGAATGGCATTTTAAATACATTTAAAAAAAGGAAGTTATGCTGCCTCTCCCTGTATAGCATTATTGTCATTGGATTTGCTTTCCCATCAAGGGAATTGGTGGTGTTTTGGTCTACAGTGGAAATATGTTTGCACTTCATTAATAACTGTTCTCCTGCAAACACTTTTGAACATTCTTCTCGAAATGTTAGTAAAATATGCTTTGCACAAACAGACTGGGTTAGCTCTAATTTATATCTCTTAGCTATTTATCAGGACCAAAAGTTCAGTCCAGGGTAAATGAGGAAATCACAATACTCCTTTCACACAGAAGAAATAAAACAACAGGAATTGGCTCTCTGGAATAAGTCTCCTTCGAAAGCAGGGGCTATCAAGTATATCTCATCTTCAGCCAATAATTATGCTACATAGAAAAATTATAAATGTACTCTGAAATACATTGCAAAACGTTGAACATTATCTAAGGTGTGGTATGGAGTCTTATTTCAGTTGGTGGCTGTGCACATAACCCTACACAGGTATACATGTGCCTGTGTATGCTTTGGTGGATGGGGAGTGTGAGGGAAATGGAACACAAAACTTTACAATTGATTGAGGCAGTGATGATCATTAACCAAAAGGAGTTAGCTGGAAACAGAGATATTGTATCAGAGAAGCAGATTGTCACATACATTCTGATTAAAAGCCTCTGTCCTCTTCAACTTACAAGAGAAAAGTATGTAACTAATGTAAGTTATTTAGAAAAAAAAATAATTAAAAGAAAAAACCCATAATTTTAAATATTTGTGCACCTCTTGTCAACCTCCTGTAGAAAATATGAGGAAAAATGTACATATAGAGTCATTAATTTGGCTAAGATTTCTGATGAGCTTATTTACAGCTGTTGTGAACTTTTTTTGTCAACGCACTTCAGTAATGAACTTTTGACAAAAGGGCGGTGGCCCTTGCAGGTGGCTCCATTTTAGGTGAAAGTACTTGAGGTTATACAAAGATACCCCCCCTCCCCCACACACACACAGATAAATAAGGAGGCATTCTTCACTGACAAGTTCATCTTGCAAAATGTGTCCAAATTCCCACATGTTAATTTTCATGATGCTTCAAAAAAAAAAAAAAAGAAAGAAAGAAAGAAAAGGGGGGGGGGCATCACTCACGTCTAGGGCCCCAGGAAGGTTGTCATTTACAAATAAATCAAAAGGCCATCATTGCTGATAGCAAAGACTAATGACTGGCATTGCTGTGCACTCTTAGATAGGCCCCACACTCAAGCCTGCTATTAAAAATGAATGCGTTTGAGAGGCCTTGCATTAAGAACATAAACAATTAAGGCCACTTGAGTTACTCCACAGAAAGCTGCCATACAAACAGAAGGGCTTTCACGTGAGGCCCTGGCCCCAGCAATCTGTTTTGCTAGGAAGCCACAGAGACGTGGCCAATTAATGTTGATGTATCTTCTATCTGCAAGGACTTGTTTCTTTTGTCCCTCAGTGTTTTAACTGTCCTCTTTATATTTGCAGATCAGAAATCTTAACGATAAGCTGTGTCAATCTGGTGACAGCTCAGAAAGTCATGAATACTGCATGAACTTTTGAGACTGTGACAGGCATTTCAAAGATTTAATGCTGTCTATATTATATGGCATGTCTCTAAACCATGACTTATATTTTGATTGGCTGACCTGCTGGGACTCATTCATTCTTTTTCCTTTATAGGTTGAATTTCAGCCTGTTGAGTATTCCTGGAATAGCACTTGTTTTGTTTTTGTTTTTCAAAAGAAATTCTGTGAGATTTCCTTTAGTTCTTTAACTGAAGCTTTGATTTATTAGCAGCTAGAGATTTTAACTCACTCATAATCTTGGGTTGCTACAGATAGGGAAAGAAATGAAGTATATTTAGATGCATGTGTTGAATTAAAATTGATGGTAATTTATCTGACCCTTAGATAGAATAAGTTATAGGCATTAAACCAGTGTCTTTATAGCCAAATATTATATTAGCAGACTATTTTTGCTATAGCCCTTCAGACTGGAGATATATGGTAGAATGCTGGCAGTTTCCTATATTTGCCAAGCAAAATGAGAAAATGTTGTGAACATGTGAATGATACACCAAATATTGCCAGTAATTTTTGGGTACTTTAGCACCAGTGAAAACCCACATGGAAATATGAAGTGGGGGCAAGATTGTTTCTGGCCACCAGGGCTACTTCTCATAGCAAACCTGTGTCCATTTTGGAAAAGTTAGAGATAGGTGCAGCATGGCCCAGGGAATATGCTAGCCATAGGCCCCATCTACACTGCCATATAATGCAGGTTCATAATGCAGTGTAAATGCATTATATGAGTGCCATATAATTCATAAACTGCATTATGAACCTGCATTATATGGCAGTCTAGATGGGGCCATACTCTACCTTTTTCTCCTTCCTATCATGTACTGTAATACTATTGTAATATTAAGGTAGCAGGAATATTGCCCCTCCCATGGTATACCCAGTGCAGATTGCAGAATTTTCTGGCTACAAAATGAATTGTTCCCTCTATTCACCCAAATTTTGGGGAGTAGAATTGGCAATTTCCAGTCCTGCCAAAGTACTTCCCAAAGATGTTACTTATTTTTCCTCTCCCATAGTTTGTCCTCAAAGGAAGTCAGGATTGTTTGTAGCCTCATATACATGTAGACAGGGCAGGATACATAGTAGAAATCAATGAAATGACAGGTTTACATAATGCTTAGTATTAAATGAAAGTGGAATAAACAATAGTATGTTCTGCTTTTGTCATAGTTTTCCTGGATTATGAGCCGGTTTATAATTGATCCAAAATCCAAAATAATTCTGTTAAAATTCAGACATAATATATGGTCTAGATTATGAATCCAGTTTGCTTGGGATGGAAATAACAATACAGTATACCATTGTTATATGAATAAGAACTTAGTTGGGTGCATCAGACTTGCAAAACCTGCTTATTTTAAGAATGCTTTTTATTGACATGCTTTGATTTATCTAAAAGTTTCATTTGCTCAGGTGCTTTATCCTCCAGCTTCTATTGCAATGTTACGAAGACACCTTTGTGACAAATGATTTCATACAGTGGCCTAGTCATATGAAAAGCAATAGATTTGTCCATTTAAACGCCTTTAGTTCATTCTGGATTTTAACCAGTGCTTTACTTGCTAATGAGCTATTTAATGAAGAATAGATTTGTGTCCTCTTATATGGGGAGATGAAGGGCTGGAGACATAACAGATGTTCTTGATCAGATTGAGCCCTGTTCTGATTAACTATACAATAATCTATAGGCACTGTATATAATGTTGGGCTGCTTTAATTTTTTAAAATAATAATAGTTTTAGTGTTTTAATCAAAATATTTACTTTTCCTCTATAGACAGAAATTGCCAAGAGATTGAATACAATCTGTGCACAAGTCATCCCGTTTTTGTCTCAAGAAGTAAGTACAAATCTTCAGCTGTTTAGAGTGAAATTATGTTGCATCTTTGTTTGTAAAGTAGTTAATTTTTAAAGATGTTAATTTTATTAAAATTCACAAGAGTGAGGAACATCTGTTGTAACTGAAGTATGCAGGCCCCCTGTTAATTTGGTCTAGCAGATGAGCTGAGATACACCAACTGTATAACTGGTGAAATAGCTCAACCACAAAATTATTCTTTCCAACACAGGAGGAGGCAGACTTTAAAAGATTATCAAGATTTTTTAATGCCAATGTTATCTTGGCAGCTGCTAGTCTAGCCATTTGTTAAATTCTATGTAAATAAAAATGCCGGCATTTAATAGCAACTTTCTAAAGCTTGAGTGGCATTTGTAAAGTATGATTCCTAGAAAAATCAAATACAATATAAAATAAGAATGCTGAGACCATATTGATGCATAATTTTAATTGAGACACAAGAGGGAGGATCATGTTTCAGTGGTTATTGTTGAATTGCTGTTTCATAAAAATAATATTACCATGTCTCTAGCCTACAGGCTTCTGTGATTTTAAAACCTTGACACTTTAGAGGGTGAATTAACATAGTTCTATGCTACTAGAGTTGTGGGTACCCCTGAAACTACACGTCATCTATGTAATAACAGTTTTAGTACAGTATCTAGAAAAACCCAACCATGCCATCTGTGAGCCAGAGAAGCAAGCAAAGAACAAATTTTGACTTCTTTCTCTTGGTTGTTGGTCCTGCTAGTTGTAGACACTGCAATAAGCAAACCAAGCATGTGGTTTGTTTATTCTCTCCTGTTGCAAGTGGAACAACTGGGCATATCTCCGATGCTCTGGATTTTGGCTTTTTAATTTTTATAGTGAATACAGGAGATAAAGTATTTATATCTTCACTTGTAGAAGAGTTGCATTTTTTTAAGTTTGTAACTGTTAAATGGCAGTTACAGTTTGTAACTGTTAAATGGCAAGTCACATCTTCTTCTGCCACAGAGAACTCTATACAGTACTAGTTTGCAGTTTAGGAAAATTCCTTTCCTATTTTAAATATCTTTCTTACAATAATTCATGTTTGTCTTTCCAGCATCAACAGCAAGTGGCTCAAGCTGTAGAACGTGCCAAACAAGTGACCATGGCTGAGCTGAATGCCATCATCGGGGTACGTGGCCTTCCAGGTCTACCTCCTACAGTGTGTATAACCAGCTTTTCTTTCTTATTGTTTTGCTATTTTTAATGTGTTAATATTTGATGTGTTATAACTGCTTTGATACATAAGACTAATTCTTAAAAATAATTGGTTTTGGCACCTGCACAACTTTCAAATGGTACTAATATTAAAAACACATTTTGTAAGATGATAACATTGAACATCCTTTTCTGGAATTCTGGACTCCAACATACTCTAAAATCAGCCATGTTCATGGCTGAGATAGTCATGCCTTTGCTTTGTGATGAACTTCGGTCCCATTTCCAAGATACCTCATATACATACAAGTATTCCAAAATCTGAAAAAAAAATTGAAATTCATAACACCTTTGGTCCCAATAATTTTGGATAAAGGATACTCGACTTGTACTACCCAATTGGACCTGTATATTCTCATCATACTTTTATTTAATTTGCTTTTTTAAAATTTATTTTTAGACTTGTAATTTTGTTCTTCTTTGTGCCTTGGCATTTGGTAGTTGGTTAGTAGCAAAAGCAAGGGCTGTCAAAACTGAGATTGCGAAAGTATTTTCATTGCATTTGATGGCCTGGTGGTTCTCCCCATTCCTCTTCCCTCCTTTGGTACATCTGAACTTTCTGAAGCAATGGGAGATGTTTATTTGCTTTTCTTAGTTTGAAAGAAATGGTTGTGAAGTTTTTGATTTCACTTAACCACAGTTGATCATGTCTTCTGGACCAATAAACGGAGCTTAATTTCAAACCATTATTTTTGAAGCTGGGATTTTTAAAACGACAACAGTTATTGGCAAACAGAAATCTATGCCTAAGCGGAAATGAATATTTCCAAACTCCTTCTGATGATCTGGGGGGGGGGGGGGGGGGGGAAACTCAGAGTGTATGGTCGTTTGTTTAAGTCATGTTAATTTATAGTTTACTGTTATCTGTGAATACTGTCCTAGTGTGTAGTTGTGAGTGATTGTTAATCCCAGGTAACTAACTTATCTTGCTCTACTGATTTTCATAAGCACTATTACTTCCCCAAGTCCTGTTACTATGTCCAAGAACAATAAATCTGGTTTTTTGTCTTTCCATAGTAAGCAAAAGGAGCTGAAACAAAAAGTGCTTCTCTTCCTTCTGATTTTATTCATATGCAAGTGCCTTGAGCAGATTCAAATTACTCATTTATCAATTTATGCTAATTGCTTGTGAGAAGATGCCCTGCTGGTCTTTATAGTTGCCTCAGACACTTTGTAATGATAATTAGACATGCTGCTGTATGGATTAACAGTGCCATAGTCCAATGACGTCTACAGACAATGGGACCAGTTAATCCATCTGTGCTTAAAATTACATCCCAACTGGAGATGGAAAAAAAGCCCCATAAGAGCGAGGGAGGATTAAAAGAATGAGCCTCAGCTTGAAAACTCTCCTTTTATCAGTTTCTCAATTGTAGATCTGCTGTTGCTTTGCCTGTGGTAAGCTATTGGCAGTCAATTAGGTGAAATAAACTGGAAGGGTGACCTTCATTTCCTTTTAATAGCTATTCCTCCCTGCAATGAGGAGTGTCAGTGGATTTTCAGCTTAAATTTTATTCAAGCTGCTTTATTACACTTGACAGATTAGCTCTGCATAAACATCCCCTGCTTTCAAACCAGGTCCTTGTTTCTCTCCCTTTCCTCTCCAATCATGTACTTTAAAAATAGTAATTAAGTCTCTGTTTGCCTGCTGTCTTTGCAACCCTCACTTGTCTGATAAGTTCTTGACATAAAAGTTCTGCTCAAAAGCTCACCACTCACCAAGCACCTCTGGATAATGGGCATCATGTAAGAAGAAATCTCTGCTGCAGCTACAGAGACATAAGGCAGAAACAAAACAGCGGAAATACATTTTAAAAAAAGAAAATGAAGTTTTACACTTGGTACATGACACTTTTGTGACATGCCTGGCTGGTTTATACTTGCTCTAAAGTGATCCATCTTCCCTGGGAAGAAGATGCAGTCCCTGACCCAAAAGAACAATACTCTGATCCTTATTCTTTTGCAAGCTCCATTCACACAGCCCTGGCTTGCGGCCTCTACCCTTCCCTGTTAATAGTATATTTTTAAAGAATCAGACTGTCATTCATTGACCTAAATCCAGTTGTTAGTCTCAGCCAAAAAAGACCCATTGAATCAGTCAGTTCTACATAATTGTTGACTTTGCATCCAGCAATTGATTCAGTTGGGCTGTTTTACTTGAGGCTAGCAATTGGATATCAGCCATTAGCTTTCATAAGCAAGTTGCATTTTAATCTCATCTGAAAACCTGTAATTGTTCAATTAGGATAGCTTTTACTAGGTGCTGTTTTTGCCTCATTCAATGCAATGCTCTGCAAATTTACTAAGAAGATAATTTCCATGTTCTCTTGGGTTGCTTCCTTGGTAAGTGTATAGAGGATTACAGCCTTACATTACTTGAGGAATTGACATGTCACTTGCCAGTATAAATATTCTTCAGTTTTCATTGAGTGTTCATAAATGCTACATGCAATCCTGTCTAACCCAAACTACCCTAGTCTAGCCCTTCTCCCTCATCAGCACAGCTGATTTGACAATTCTATTACAGCCTGAAGAATAATCTTGTGCACTGCAAAGCTCACTACTACTGCTGCGGCTTTCTTTCTTTTTAAAAACATTTCCACCAAGTTGGTCCAATAAGGGATTCCCTCTGCCTCTTTCTTCTCTGCACATTTGTATATATCAATAATTATCCTACTCTGCACAATAAGTTTCATGCTCTGACATATGCTTGATTTGTTTGAAAGGGATTGTGTGCACACTGGAAAATTGGAGTAGCATAAAATTGGGCTGACAATTCAATGGACCTTTGCTCCTCTTCATTGAACATGCACTGTGTCAGCCTGTCTCCCCAGAGGGGAGGAGGCATCAGGAGCCTGTCTGTTCCTACAAGCAGCAGCTGCACTGAAAGTAAACTGCAGCCCAGTTTGATAGCAGCTGTCAGTATTGTTCAGGGACCCAACTTAGTGTAAAGAACAATTGCGGAGGCCATGCTCTTAAACTGCAGTGTCTTTCAAGCTAATAAAAGAAATAGCAATTTAACGGTTTAGACGTTCATTGTGAGTGTGAAAGGTTGTGAAAGGCTTCTTTTGAAAATGCAAATAGGCTGGTGCATTCTCCAACATTAGAAACACAATCAAGTAGCCAGTGGCTTAACGCAACTAAAAGGTATTTCTGTTCCATGAAAGTAAGGGCAAGTAGAAAGGGCAAGGGAGCAGAAAAAATGCATTGGAGGATGAAGATTCAGCAGATCCCCAATAGATGTGTAGAATTGCAATAAGAGTTACGTTGATTTTTGTTTAAAAAGCTAAGCTTCCTGGCATGGCACAGCCATTCCAAATAATTGTTGCTAAATTCTTCCTCTGCCCCATTAGTTGAGAGTAACCTACTATAGAGGCAAGGCGGAATATTTGTTTTCACTCGGCACAGGGATTAGGAGACAAGATGACTGTGTGTGTATGTATGTGTGCAGGGAGAACAATCCTCCAATTAGTAAAAATCAGAAGTTATTGAAAAATAGACATGTTTTGAAATAAGGGAAACATTAATACACTAAGTAAATGTTTTGAGGTGGGGGCTCTCTTTTACAGTATCTATAAAAATACATCTATCTCCAATATTGATTTTATCCAAATAGTACCATTTGCAGAGTTATGCAACTTGGTAATTATTGCCATGGAAGGAGAGCTGAAAGTAGGGTATGTGGGAACAAATTGCACAGAGTAGAGACAGGACAGAATATGTACATCCCACTCTTTATGCAGGCAGTTGTGTTCATCTTTGATGGACATGGAGAAAATGTCTCCAGTTATTAAAAAAAGTAAGTGAGGTAGTGACTTAGCAAGCTGTGCACATAAATGCTTTAATGTGGCCCCCTTTCTACTTCTGTTATGTTTGGGCATGGCAGTAGATTTTTCTTTGAGTGGAGAGAATCTAGATTATGGCATGAAGGCTTTAAGTGGATTATCTTGGTAGAATTTGAAGGGATTGGAGAAAGAAGGAGGAAGATAGTTAAGCAACAGGTTGGAAAATTAAAAGTTGTGCATGCCAAGAAATGTGAATGACAGTTGTAATTAGACCACACTGTTTGCCAATAAAATCACCATATACAGTTTGTGCAGATTGTCAGGCCTCTTTTTTAAAAAAAGCAACTTGATGAATTGTGAAAACATTTCTAAGTGTCGAACACAAGAATGAGGCAGTCTGTGAGGGCATTTCAGTTTAGCTTGTTCAAAAAGAATTTGATACTTGAGAGGTGTCAGGTTTCCCCTGGCCCCCCCTTTGAGGTGCGCTGCTAATGGTTCTGTGAAATGTATCTCTTGGACTGACAGTACTTGTGAGACAGATTGAGTTGTCGGCCTCCAAACGGCTTTCCATCATTGCATGAGGTGATTGACTAAAGGATTAGCACGATGCTGGATTATTTTTCCTCTACTTGGCGGTGGTTGCCAGCTATCTCTGAGATTGTAGTGTGTGAAGCTTAAGAGGATGAGGTTAACCTCTTGAGGGTTTATTATGAGCATGCAGTTAATCTTTAGAAAGCCTATAAATAACTGGGGTGCATGTTTTGTTGTAAAATAGAAATATGGATGCAAAGGGAAGTGAAAGCAAAAAAGTAATGCTGCAACCTTTTAGTTCTTGCCTTGAGTGGTTTCTGGGATCCTCGGCAGCACTTGGTATTTTATGTCAAATGCAATCCACAGTCTGAGAGTTGTTGTTGTTGTTGTTTTAAAGACAATGGGGGTGGGTAGGAGGACAAAATAACATCAGGTGCCTGCTACACAATATATGGGACAAAAGGCTTAAGTCTTAGTGTATTCAGTGAATGCTCTGCTGGTTGAGACATAGGAGAAGATATTGAATGAAATTTTTGGGAGACCAGATATCTCAAGCTCATAAAATACCTGAGCTTGATAATGTGTTTCTACAATCCTCTACTATAATCTTCTACTTCTTTCTCCAACA